ATATCATTAATACGAATATAATGAAATTAACAATTAGAAATGAAATAATGTGATAATTTGGATAATTTGTGTGACCTGGGCAGTGGCGTGGGAAAGAAAGTGCGCAGGGGGCGAGGCGACATTTTCTGCCGACTGAAGAGTTTTTTTTCGCGGAAGGGGTGGGAAAAACATTGACCCGCCATAGGTGGCACTAAGTATGGCTACCCCACTGGCCCTGTAGTATTGAAGTTACACGAAGTAACGGTACCTTCACCTATGGGGGAGGGGGGGGAAGAGGAAGGGGGCGTTGAAAGGTGAAGTTGAAATATCCCCGACAGCAAGAGAGCCCCCACGCAGTCCTTCAACATCCTACACCTAAATGTTGACATTCGCAACTGAACTTTCCGACCCGGACCTGATTCTTACGCATTCGGGTCAGAATCTCCCATTAGTCAAGTTATTATTGGGGGACTGGTGTACAAACATCCTGTTTAATTTCTAACTCCGAACACAACAGATCACTGGGTACGTAATAGGTGGGGGGTGGGGGGACTGGTGTAGAAACATCCTGTTTAATTTCTAGCTCCGAACACAACAGATCACTGGGTACGTAATAGGTGGGGGGTGGGGGGACTGGTGTACAAACATCCTGTTTAATTTCTAGCTCCGAACACAACAGATCACTGGGTACGTAATAGGTGGGGGGTGGGGGGACTGGTGTACAAACATCATGTTTAATTTCTAGCTCCGAACACAACAGATCACTGGGTACGTGATAGGTGGGGGGTGGGGGGACTGGTGTAGAAACATCCTGTTTAATTTCTAACTCCGAACACAACAGATCACTGGGTACGTAATAGGTGGGGGGTGGGGGGACTGGTGTACAAACATCCTGTTTAATTTCTAGCTCCGAACACAACAGATCACTGGGTACGTAATAGGTGGGGGGGGGGGGGACTGGTGTACAAACATCCTGTTTAATTTCTAACTCCGAACACAACAGATCACTGGGTACGTAATAGGTGGGGGGTGGGGGGACTGGTGTACAAACATCCTGTTTAATTTCTAGCTCCGAACACAACAGATCACTGGGTACGTAATAGGTGGGGGGGGGGGGGACTGGTGTACAAACATCCTGTTTAATTTCTAACTCCGAACACAACAGATCACTGGGTACGTAATAGGTGGGGGGTGGGGGGACTGGTGTACAAACATCCTGTTTAATTTCTAGCTCCGAACACAACAGATCACTGGGTACGTAATAGGTGGGGGGGGGGGGGACTGGTGTACAAACATCCTGTTTAATTTCTAACTCCGAACACAACAGATCACTGGGTACGTAATAGGTGGGGGGTGGGGGGACTGGTGTACAAACATCCTGTTTAATTTCTAGCTCCGAACACAACAGATCACTGGGTACGTAATAGGTGGGGGGGGGGGGGACTGGTGTACAAACATCCTGTTTAATTTCTAACTCCGAACACAACAGATCACTGGGTACGTAATAGGTGGGGGGTGGGGGGACTGGTGTAGAAACATCCTGTTTAATTTCTAACTCCGAACACAACAGATCACTGGGTACGTAATAGGTGGTGGGGTGGGGGGACTGGTGTACAAACATCCTGTTTAATTTCTAACTCCGAACACAACAGATCACTGGGTACGTAATAGGTGGTTGGGGGGGGGTGGGGGTATCAATAGAAAGGACGTTTATTTCCGCATGAAGTAAATGGCTGTTGTGCCACCCCCCCCCAACCCAATAAGAAATTCAAGAGCAAATATTTGAAATGTAAATAAGGATCTTTTAGCAAGTTGCAAGCCCAGTTATGCTCCATTGAATTCACTTCTATAGGGGATGTTTTCGTGATAGATGAAACCACTCTTAACAACATAAACTCTTTATATCATATATAATTGTATGATTATACGATTAAATGATTATATGGTTTTATGATTAAGGGATTTTATGATTAAATGATAACATGATTATTTGATTACATGATTATATTATTAAGTGATTATAGGATTACATGATTATATGATTACGTAATAATATTCTTATATGATGACATTGTTGTATGATAACACGATCATATGATAACACGATTATATGATTATATTATCACATATATACCTTAAGACCTTTATTGTGGCGCTAGTTACTGTTAAACCTTACCTTTAATAAAAACACTTGACACACCTGCATATGGCGCATCCTTAGTTCAGCATACAATGTCGCCAATCCGTGATGAGGACAGTAGATCAGAGAATCATTGAACTATACTGGTACATGGTACACGATGTCTCCTCCGCCCCTGTTGCTCTTTTGAATGATCTCGAAAGATAACTTTTTCACCTTTCACAAGGGCCGCCCTTTAAATTTGTTAACCACGCAAAACCCCCAAGACAAGAAAGAAAAAAAAAAAGAAAAAATTTCCCAACCCATTCCCGTAGCTCTAGCATTTAATTAAACGTACATATTTGTTTTACGTAGCGGTGTTGCAAAAAATTTTTTTTTTTCCAATTAAAAGGTTGACATGCACTTGCACCTGTGAACCCGTGTTACAAATGAACCCCCCCCCCCCCCCCCCCCCCCCCCCCCCCCCCCCCCCCCCCCCC